CCAACTCAAAAAAAAAAAAAGAGTGTGCACAAACTGTCTCCAGGGCCACCGTGACGTCCTGCAGTGTGTTCAGGGGCAGAATCGGTGAGTCAGAAGCAGCTTGGGGCTCAGAGGTGTTCCAGTAGGGACAGTGCAGAGGAGGGACCGGGGGTCTGTAGATGTGGCTGACCTGGAGCACAGCCCCTGGGATGATCATTTTAAGAGGTTTCCCCCGTGGCAGCCGGTAGCGCTCTCCAGACACACCCCACCCTCCATCGTACACAGACACACTCACCCCTCACACCACACCACAGACACACACACCCACATCGCACCACAGATATGCTCACCCCTCACGCCACACACCACACACCACGTGCACATGTTCCCTACATCACACACCGACACACTCAGCCCTCACATCACATACCACAGACACGCACCCCTCACATCACGGACGCATGCACACACCCCCTCCATCACACCCACACTCACCCCTCACACCACACCACAGATGCACACACCTCCCGCCACACACTCACTCCCCCCATGTCACGTACTTCTTTCTATTATACCACAGACACACACCTCGAATCCTACCACAAATACACACACACTCCCTACATTATACCGTGCATACGTACCTCACATCATACCATAAACACATACTCCTCACGCCACAACACACACTTCACATCATGCCACACACACTTCACGCTGCAAGCACACGTACACCTCACAGCATACGGCACACAGTCTTTTTTTTTTTTTTTTTTTGAGTTGGAGTCTCACTCGGTCACCCCAAACTGGAGTGCAGTGGCCGCTCCCGGCCACCGCAGCCTTGCCTGCTGGGCTCCGGCGATCCTTCCGCCTCAGCCTTCCAGGTAGCCGGAATTACAGGCGCGCGCTACCACGCCCGGCTGATTTTTTGATTGTTATTGTAGAGATGAGGTCTCGCTGCCCAGGCGGGTCTCGAACCCGCGGGCTCAGGCAATCCATTCACCTCAGTCTCCCAAAGGCGCGGGATTACAGGCTGAGCCACCGAGCCCGGCAACACACAGTCTTACACAACTCCCAAACACACACACACCTCCTTTCGCCCAAGGCATATGCACACCTGTCATCACATACGTGGATGACATCACACCATCAAAACCCAGACACCACTGCACAAGCCCGTGCCTCCGAAGTGGCCCCCACCCCTCACATCATCGCCAAATGCACATATCACCTCCACATATGACCCCAACACCTCTGTCATCCCAGAGTCTGAAATGCACACACACCCCATGTGACCCTCACACAGATGACCTGCCCTCCTGACGACAAGCCACACCCTCACACAGCCGTGTGGATAGAGGCGGCCCTGGGCATTATGGGAGCCTCTCCATGCTTGTTCTGAGATGGACCCTTGTGTGCTCTGCTGTCCAGGTAGACAGAAGAAAACGCCGGAGCTGGGGAACAGTGCAGCCCAGTGAGCGCAGGGTCAGGATGTGGAGGAGGGACGAGGTCAGAGGCAGGCCGGAGGGATGATGTCTAAACTCATGTTTTGCAAAATGTGGCATGTGGACCACTGACATCAGAGCCCCCAGGTGGTGTGAGAATGCGGATTCTGGGCCCAGCCTGGTTGCATGGAAGCGGCATGTCTGTGAGTGGGCTCAGAATGTGCATTTCAGACAAGCTGCCCTGGAGGTCATTTTGCACACTGAATGGGGGTTTGAACCACTGGTCTGAACTGCAGCACCTTGACCTGCAGATGAGGGATTTAGATTTTATTTGGAAGGTAATAGGGAGTCACTGAAGGTTTCAGGTGGAGGGTGAGCAGAGTGAGGTTTTTGAAAGATGACTTTTACAGCAGTGTTTAAGCAAGACTGGAGAACTTGGGGGAAACTGAGGGAAGGAGCCTCTGAATGAAGGTGGGAGGGCCTGGCAGGAAACGATTATGTGAACCCCGTTGATGTCAGCACTCTGGTTAAACCCATGAGTAGGAGTCCACAGCCAGTTTGATAGATGGTGGAGTTGGTGATGGATAATTTGGAGAAGACTTTGACTTGAGAGGCGTCTATAGAGCACCTGGGCAGGCACCACTTCCAGAAGGCAATGGACCTGGCCATTTCTGAGGTAGTCACTCCACTCACCCTGGCTTCTCCAAACTGGAAGACCTGGGACGCCATCCCTCCCCTGCTTCCTGGGCTGCACCTCCTGAACTGGTCAGCAGAGGCTTCCATGGCCCCTTCTGCCTCAGCTTACGTCACAGGGCACTTGTGATTTGTCAGCTACATGTGATATTTCTTTTTTTTTTT